GAGGGGAAGTGGGATTGGCCAATGAGAACCAGCCCTTACGAGCACAAGAAGATTGCTGATGAAGACCTCGTGTGGACTTCAAAGCTTGCATAAGTATTGTTTTCACCTGCTTAGCACATGAAGAAGGGTAGACTTTTCATTGACTGCTGACCTAGAACTGGGGATGTTTACCAAATACTAACCAGATGGCTCAGTCCCTTTCCAGTTTCCAGGAAAGAAGAGTTTTGTAAGTCTCTGGTTGGGGCCAGAAGCATTAGGCCCTTATGTCACAGAGAATTTTGACAGAGCAAATGGAGGAAGGCTGTTTCCTGTCTCTGTTGAGTGAACCACCAGACTTCCAGGAGCTCAGTTCCATACCAGGTTTTGCTGACAGCTGAGCCCTATGAGGTACTGAATGGTCTATTTGAACAAACTGAGAAGTGGACCCAAGGCAGCCAATAGAGAATGACATGATTTGTCCATCTGTTATGCTGATTTGGGGAGCAAACTTGGAGGCATGAATGCTATGTAGAAACTGCTTTAAGTTGGAGTCCTCTCTCCCCAGGGACCAAGGTGGCATGGGGAGAATGTACCCCTTGGTTGTTAGGGGCAAATACTTCTACTTCTGTTCTTGCTCAGTCATCCCAGTAGCTGTGCCTTTGTTAAGCTAATTGACATTCATTGTTTCAATGAAACTGGAGTGGTATTAATGATAAAAGGGAGATAACTGTAATTTGAGGGAGATTATATTTGAATGGGGGCTTGTCATTGACATGGCAAAGATACCCACAGTTCATCAGAGCTCTCCCCTGAGGAGGGATGTAGCCTTGTCCTGTGAGACCTAATGTGCCAGTAAAGATGAGATGGGATAAGGCTCACCAGAGCTTTTATGTGCTGACCATGCATATGTAATGTAATATGGGTGAACTGGCCAATGGGAGAGGCCTATCCTTTGAACATGCACAGACATTCCCTACTTCCTTTGAGTTCAAGAGACCATGTGGAAATTTGTGAGGAGTCATTTTCTGGCTATGATGACTTGTCTTCTGGATTAGCTCCTCACCAAGCATGGATCCTGCCATGGATTGGCCACCAGTCTGTCTTCTCTTTGACCATAGCCTCTTCCAGGTTTGGCCAGGTGGTCTATTGAAATTTATGCGATGACCCTCCCTGTTTCCAGTCTGGCTTGTTTCTAGGTAGTTATAGTCAATTGAGGGAGGCCATAGTCTGCAGGCTGCATGTACTTTTAATCCCATTCCCTACCTATTAGTTAGCATTTGCTTTACATGATCCTCTGATCCCATTCTCCTTTATATCTAATCTTTTTCCCTAAACTTCAGCAATGGGGAGATTAGACACAACGGCCCATCATCTTTTGGTGGCACGCACCTATCATATTTGTCCCCTCTTATTACAGAAGCCATTAAGAAAAACATCCTCTATCTGGAATTTGGGGCTGGTACTCTCCTTAGGCCAGCCCATCAAGATGTTTTCAATTTTGGTTTTTAAAAAAATTAACTGCTTTTAATTTTCTAGTTCTGAGTTTTGCCTCATTAATCCGGGCAAAAGCCCAAACAAAGATTTTCCCTTTTAACAGATGATTTGTACTGGGCTGGCTCCTCACCAGGTGGTTCCTCCTAGGAACCATTCTTCCCAGTTCAGAGCTAGAGTAAGCCCCATTGTTACATATTGTGAACTTTTCTTCAGTGGAGTCTTAAGCAAATGAATAAATATGGACTGAGGCATTATGTTCAGTTTATTGTTTAGTCATATCCAGCCCCTCCTAGTTGGGGTTTTCTTGGCAAAAATACTGGAGTGGTTTGCTGTTTCCTTCTCCAGCTCATTTTTACAGTTGAGGAAACTGAAATAAATAGGGTTAAGTGGCTTATCCAGGGCCACATAGCTAGGAAGTGTCTAAGACTGGATTTGGACTCAGGAAGATAACTCTTCCTGACTCCAAGCCTGGCACTCAATCCATTGTGCCACATAACTGCCCACACGATAAGCTCTGCACATAGAGAGAAAGGCAACAAAACAAAACAAAACACACCCTATTCTCAAGGATTTCACAGTGTCTCATAGGGGATACACCATGCAAACAACTAAATACAAACGAGATATATACAGGATAAATTGGAGATAAACAACAGAGGGAAGGCATTAGATGAATTGGGAAAGTCTTCTTGTAGGTAGGAAATGAAGGAAGCCATTGAGGTCAGGAGGTGGAAATAAGGAGTGAGAGAATTCCAGGCATAGGGAACAATGAAAATTCCCAATGTCAGAAAACGGAGTGTCCTGTGCAAGGAACAAATGAGAGAAGACAGGAAAGGATGAAGGTTGGCAAGTTATGAAGGGCTTTGAAAAACAAATGGAAGATTTTATGTGTGGTGAAGCCTCATGTGTTACAAGGGCTATCCTGCCTGTAGCATGGCAGTGTTGTATGACTTGAAGATCTTTCTTTGAAAAGACTAATAAGAATGATAATTTAAAAATCTGATTAAAAAGAAGGGAGCAGAAAATAAAATCAATAAAATAAGTGAGCAAGGTGAAATCACAACAAAATCAGAAGAAATAAAAAAGAATACTCAGAGCGTGTTATGTACTTACATGCAAACAAAGCTGAGAACATAAAAAAGAATACCTTCCAAACTGCAAAATATCCAAACTATCAGAAGGCCAAATAGAGATCTTAAGTAACCCAATCTCAGAAAAGGAAGTTAATCTAGCTGTAAAGGAACCACCCAAGGAAAAAAAAACCTTTTGGTGCTGTCAGATGTACAGAAAATTCTACCAAACTTTTAAGGAACAATCAGTGCCCATACCCCATAAATTATTCTCAGAAACTGAGAAACACCCAGCCAGAATTCCTTAAAAGATAAATCGAGTCATAATATGTAAATGAGGTAAAGACAAAACACAGAAAGAAAACTATATGCCAATGTAATTAGTGAACATTGAGTCAAAAAATTTAAACACAATCCTATGAAACAGACTACAGTGATTTGTCCAAGAAATTATTCACTCTGAACAAATAAGATTAATGCCAAATAGGGAAGGATGGTTGAACATTAAGAAAACAAATCAACTTAATTGATCACATTAAAAACCAAAACATCCAAAAGCCACATAATAATTTTAATAGATGAAAAAAAGCCTTTGACAAAGTACAGTACACTTTCAGGCTAAAAACTCTACAAAATATAGCTATAGAGGGACCTTTTGTAATATCATAAAAAAGAATCTACCTAAAACCAAAACCAAGCATCATGTGCAATGAGGATACACTAGAAGTTTTGGCAATAAATACTGGACATACAAGAACGGGTAGAAAAGGGGACTTGCTATGAGGGCTATTTTCAAATATTTGAAAAGTTATGATACGAAAGAATGACTAACTGTATGTGGTCAGGCGTCAGAGGTGAAAATGAGGAGCAATGGATGGGTGGAAATTGCAGAAAAGCAGAATCAGGCTTGATGTAAGGAAAATAGTCCTAACAATCAGAGAGGTCCAAAAGTGAAATGGGTTTCTTGAAAAATTAGCTTCTTTTCACTGGAGGTCATCTGACAAGATGAATTAGTAATTAGGAGAGGTGTTATAGAGGGCATTCTTATTCAGGAGCAGGTCAGATGATATGACCACTGAAGTTCTTCTCTAAGGTGGTTGAACCAAGAAAACTGTCATGACACTAGAGCTCTAATCTTTCCAGAGATGCCAATTGCTGCCCTTTCCCATTCTCCCAACTATATTAATGTGCTAAAAGAGCCAGCTGCTGTCTGTGGTTCCTTTCAGCCTTATGTAGTTTCCTTATTTATTCTTTTTCTTAATGTTTATTTTTGTTTTGTCAAATAGCATGATTGCCACTCTTGCTTTTTTTTGGATTCACTTGATATATAGTAAAAAAATTTCCATGCCCTTAGTTTGTGTGTGTGTATATGTGTGCATATGTATATCTCTTTGTTTTTTAAATGTATTTCTTATAAATGACAGATTGTAGGGTTTTGTTTTCATACCAAATTTCTCCCTATTTTTTTATTGTATTAAACTGCTTAATCTATTCACATTTAAAATTGCATGAAATAGTACATCTAATTTTATTTTTTTAAAGTTATGATTTTTTACTTCAGTTACTTTTGTTCAGTTATTTCAGTCATGTCTGATTCTTTATGACCCCCCTCCCCTTCCCCATTTAGGGGGTTTCTTGACAAAAATATTGGAGTTGTTTGCCATTTCCTTTTGCAGCTCACTTTACAAATGAGGAATTTAGGCAAACAGGGTTAAGTGACTTGACCAGAGTCATACAGCTATTGTCTGAGGCCAGACGGAAATGAGTCTTCCTGCCCCCAGGTCTGGCACTCCATCCACTGCTCTACCTAGCTTTCCTTCAGTTACTTTTACCTTAATCTTTACTAAAGTGGCCCTATTCCCTCTCACAGTCTTCCCTTAACTCTTGATCCCTTCCTCTCATTTGTTACCCCTTTCCCTTTAGTGTTTTGTTCATTACTTCCTTTTTCTAGCCTGACTTAACTGGTTATAGAATCCTTCACTCTCTTTTTCCTTCTGTTAATCAAGTAAATTCCCTGTTGCTCTCCTCCGTTTCAACTAGGCTATTCATTAGTTTTTTTTAATTTCATTTTTATGCCACTTTCCAAAAGAAGATTTCATTCACTCTCTTCATTAGCCATTCTCTTTCTGTCTAAACAAGACAGTCATTCTCCCATTGCTGATGCTTATAATTACCTAGTTTCTCCTTGTTCTCTGTATTCCTTAAGCATTCAAAACTTCCAAGGTCTTCATTCCAGGCTCTCTCCTCTAGGTAGTTTTTCCTACTGCCTTGTAGAGCTTTCTTCACTGATTCCTTTTTCCCATGGTGCCTCTCTCTCAGAACAATTTTATTGTTTTTTGCTTCTCTTCTAGATTGTCCTTCACTTCTATATATTTGCATTTCCAATCTATTGTTCTCTCTTCTATTTCTTTGGTGAGGCTCCACATTGTAGATTCAAATTTTTCTATTCTGCTCATTGCTTTTGCTGTGCAGGCCATAAATTCTGCTCTCACAATTCTCATTTCATTTTTGCACCTCTCAGGAACTTCATGTTGTGGTTCCATCTTCCCATTACAGTCCACAGGTTCCTCTGTCTTATCAAGTATTGAGTCATTTTCCTTTCTTTTGCTGTATTTTTTCATAGATGCTTGAACTCATTTACTAGACCTGGAGGTCATATCGCCTTCTGTTGTTAATGTTTTCCCTTTTGATTTATCTGCCTATATTCAAGGTCCTCAACTTTTCTTCTTCCAGAGATCTTTATTAATTTCGTTCTTCTCCCCTGACCTCTTATTTTTCCCTGACTTTGTCAAGGCCCCAAGCAAGGTTCTGCTCCTGAGGGGCTGCTGTCACATTGGCTGTCTGTTGTAGTCCAAGCAAACCTCTGCAACCTGGAGCCAGGATCTCCATTGCACTGCAAAGAGGGAGGGGTGGGGTTGGAGTGTGAGGTTGGGTTTTGTTGCAAGCCTAGCTGTTTGTTGGTTCTTGGATCAATTAGAGCAGCCTTGCTGTTGGTAGTGGGGGAAGGGTCCTGAGTGAGCTCAAGATAGGTATCAGTTCATATTTTTTTTCTACCTTCTTTTGGATTTTGGGTGTCCTAGTCCATGCAGATAGCTGAAATTGCTTTATCTTTGGTGCTTAATTTGCATTTTGGAGAGGTTTGAGAGTTCATGGGGATCAGAGAAAATGTCTAATCCTCTATCTTGTTGCTCAACTTTTCAATGTGTTTGCAGAACAGGGCTTAATGATTCAAATGTAGCCTAACCAGAGCAGTGGAATGATTAACTTTCTCATTATGGACATCTTTATTTTTAAATGCAACCTAAGATCATGTGACACCATTCCTGGGGGCACAACTTAATATTTCTTTATCTGTAAAATGAGGGGTTTGGACTAGAGGCCCTCTAAATTCACTTTCAAGTCTAGACCTAGGACTCCTTATCATAGGATTTAATGGTACCAGACTTATTGTCCACTAAAAACCACACATCTGGGCACAGTTCAATTATCTTCTACATGTGAAGTTGGGCTTTTAATACTAAATGAAGGACTTTACTTTTTAACTCTTTCAAATTTCATCTAATTAAATGGAGGCATTCATATTAGCTACTTTTTTCAAGGCAATCAGACTAATTGGGCTAAGTAACTTGCCCAGCTAGTGAGTATCTGAGACCACATTTGAACTCAGGTCCTCCTGATTCCAGAGCCAGTGCTCAATGCAGTGTGCCACCTAGCCGCCCCCATGTTAGCTACCTCTTAATTCACTCTCTTTTCTGTCCTTCTCGTGATACCTGGTGTAGGATGCTCCATCTTTATATTCTCCAGATGCTTTCTTCAGTCGAGGCCACTAGTAAACCTTCCTTCTTCTGTAGCTCCAAGCACAACAATGAAAATGACCCCCTCTGTGCCACAAATAAAGGAAGTCCTAAAAATTAAAGGTAAATTGATACAATCGAGTGTAAGAAAACCATCAAATTAATAAATGAAACTAGGATTTGGTATTATGAAAAAAATCAATAAACTGAATCCACTGTTGGTTAAAATGATTAAAAAAGAGAAAGAAGAAAAACAAGTTACTAGCATCAAAAATGAAAAGGGTGAATATACACTAAAGAAGACAAAATTAAAGCCATTATAAGAAGTTATTTTGTCCAATTATATGCCAGTAAATTTAACAACTTAAGATAAATGGAAAAATACAAACTCCCCAGATTAGCAGAAGAGGAAGTAGAATATCTAAATAGGTCTATTTTAGAAAAAGAAATTGAATAGGCCATAAATGAGCATTGTAAGAAAAAAGCATTAAGACCAGATTTATTTACAAGTGAATTTTATCAAACATTTAAAGACCAACTAATTCAATATTAAATAAATTATTTAGAATAATAGGTAAAGGAGGGGTCCTACCAAACTGCTTTTTAAAAATTAATTTATTTTTAGTTTTCAACAATCACTTCCTTAAGGTTTTGAGTTTTAAATCCCCCCCCAAGATGGCATGCAGTCTGACATAGGCTCTACATATACATTCCTATCAAACATTTTCACATTAGTCATATTGTAAAGAAGAATTGGAACCAATAGAAGGAACCACAAGAAAGAAGAAACAAAACAAAATAGAAGGTTTTTCTGAAGTCCACTTGCTCATAATTTCTTATAGCACAATAGTATTCCACTATATTTATATACCACAAGTTGTTCAGCCATTCTCCAGTTGGTGGGCATCCCCTCAATTTCTAATTCTCTGCCACCACAGAAAGAGCTGCTATAAATATTTTTGTACATGTGGGTCCTTCTCCTATTTTTATGATCTCTTTGGCATACAGCCCTAGAAGTGATATTTCTGGGTCAAAGGGTATGCACATTTTTATAGTCCTTTGGGTTTACTTTCAAATTGCTCTCCAAAATGGTTGGATGAGTTCACAACTCCACCTGTAGATCAATTTCATTAATGAATATGGATGCAAAAATCCTAAATAAAATACTAACTAAAATATTACAATACATTACAAAGATTATATGTTATGATTAAGTGGAATTTATACCAAGGATGCAGGGATAGTTTAACATAAGGAAAACATTTAACATAACTGATTGTATGAATAATAAAAGTAACAAAAATCATGTGATAGTATCAATAGATGCAGAAAAAGCATTGAATAAAGTACAACACTCATTTCTATTAAAAACCCTTGAAAGTATAGACGCAAATGGACTTTTCCTTAAATTGATAAGAAGCATTTATCTAAAACCATTAGCAAATATTATTTGTAATGGGAATAAGCTAGAAGCCTTTCCAGTAAGATCTGGTATGAAACAAGGATGCCCATTTTTACCAATGTCATTAAATATTGTATTGGAAATTGTAGCAATAGCAATAAGAGAAGAAAAAGAAATAGAAAGAATCAGAATAGAGAATGCAGTAATAAAACTATCTCTTTTTGCAGATGATATGATGATATACTTAGAAAATTCTAAAGACAACTAAAAAGTTAACTGAAATAACTAATAATTTCAGCAGATTAGCAGGATATAAAGTAAACCCACATAAATCATCTTCATTGCTACATATTACCAACAGAATCCTGCAGGGAGAGATAGTTAGAGAAACCCTATTTAAAATAATTCTAGACAGTATGAAATATCTGAGAATACATTTACTAAAATAAAACCTGGATCTATATTAACAAAGACATAAAAATCTTTGTATACAAACCAAATTAGATCTAAATAAGTGGGGAAATATTAATTGTTCATGGGCAGGCAGGGCCAATATGATAAATATAATAATTTCACCACAATTAATCTATGTATCTAATGTCATTCCAATTAAATCACCAAAAATATTTTATGGAGCTAGAAAAAAATAATAACAAAATTCATTTGAAAGAACAAAAATCAAGAATAACAAAGGAGCTAATGGGAAAAAAATGTAAAGGAAGGAGATTTAGCAACACCAGAACTTAAACTATATTTTAAGGCAGCAATTATAAAAAGTATCTGATACTGGGGCAAGCTAGGTGGCGCAGTGGATAGCCACTGCTGTTGATAGGGCCCTGGAGTCAGGAGGACCAGAGTTCAAATCCAGCCTCAGACACATAACACTCACTAGCCAGGTGACTCTGGGCAAGTCACTTAACCCCAACTGCCTCACATGAAAAAAAAAAAGTATCTGGTACTGGCTAAGAAATAGAAATGTAGATTAGTGGAACAGAGTAGACATACAATCTAAAACAGCAAATGAATGTAATTACTCAGTGTTTGATGAGTGTAAAGACTTAAGTTTTGAGGATAAGAATTCATTATTTGGTAAAAAAAAATGTAGGGAAAGCTAGGAATCAGTCTGGCAGAAGCTGGGCAGAGACCAATATCTTAGACCATTTACCATGATAAGGTCAAAATGGATACATGGGCAAGATATAAACAGAGATATTACAAGAACATTTCAAAAACATTGAACATATTACATATCAGATTTGTGGAGAGGTGAACAACTTATGAACAACAAAGAGTTAGAGAGTGTTGTGAAATGTAAATTGGAACAATTTTGATTACATGAAATTAAAAAGTTTTTTGTAATAATAAAATAATTGTAGCCAAAATAAGAAGGAAAGCAGAAAATGGGGTAAAATTGGTAAACAGTTTCTCAGATAAAGGTCTCATATCTTAAATATATAAAGAACTTTGTCAACTCTGTATGAATGCTAGTCATTCCACAATTGATAAATGACCAAAGAATATTGACAAGCAGTTTTCCAATGAAGAAACCAAAATAATTTACAGTCTTATGAAAAAATGCTCTAAATTGTTGTTGATTAGAGAAATGCAAACTAAAACAACCTTGAGATATCATTTTACACCTATCAAATTGGCTAAAATGATAGAAGGGGGAAATGACAAATGTTGGAGGGGATATGGAAAAACTGGGACCTTAATTCATTCTTGGTGGACCTGTGAGCTAATCTGCACATTTTGGAGAGAGATTTAGAATTATGCCCAAAAAAGTGATAAACTGCCTATACCCTTCCACTCAGCAATACCACTATTAGGGCTATTTCCCAAGATGATTAAGGAAAATGGAAAAGAACCTACATGTTCTAAAATATTTATAGCTTTCTTTGTGGTGGTAAAGAACTGGAAATTGTGAGGATGCCTGTCAATTGGAGAATGGCTAAACAAATTATGGCATATGTTCATGATGGAATACTACTCTACTATAAGACATGATGATTTTGAAAAATCATAGAGAGACTTCCACAAAATAATGAGTGAAATTAAAGAGTGAAAGAATGAAGCAGAACCAGGGGAACATTGTATACAGTAACAATAGTATTGTTTTAAAAACAACTTTGAGCAATCATATCGTTCTGACTATTATAAATACTCAAATTAAATGGCAAGATCCTATGAAGGAAGATGCTATTTGAATACAGAAAGGAAAATTGCTGTGATGTAGGAAGTGATGAGCTGGCTGATTTAGAAAAGCATGGAAATGTGTTTTTCTTATGAAGGAAGATGCTATCCACCTTCAGAGAAACAGATGATAGGAGGAAATAACCATAGTATGGTCTTATATATATGTGTGTGAGTGGAAATGTGTACATATGTGTATGTTTATAGATATCTATGTGTGTATACACATACACACACACACACACACACACACACATATCCATGCTCAATTGTAGCCATCTTGGGGGGAGGAAGGGGAAAAATGAAATAAAAGGTGCACAGCAGAAAACAAAAGAAAACCAACAAGGAAGCAAAGACAAGCTGGGCAGCTTTGAAAACAAATGCAATCAACACTACAGGGTCACTCTGACTGTGAAACTTGGAAGGACCCTGGGAATACTAATAAGGGAGAGGAAGGAGAAAGTCCTTACTTATGTTCTCCAATCCAGATAACACAAAAGGCAGTAGGTACAAGATAGTCTGGCTGAATGACTAGGCAGGCAACACTAGGCTGAGGCCCCGGGGGCTAGTGTTGTTGTCGTTGAGTTGTTTTTCAGTGATGTCTAGAATGGCAAAGTTGGTTCATGAGGTAGTTGGTCTCCAGGCTTAGGTCCACCAGGTTCCTCAACCTGGTGCTTGTGGGAACAAGCAGGTTAGGGCCACTGTGGGAGGGATAGAGGTGGTCATGAGTCCTGGGGATTCCGAGAAGTTGAGTGTCCTGATGCTTCTTCCTCGGGATTATTTGTGTACTTTAAAGTGAATAAGACACTGAGTTCTCGCCCTAGAGAAAACAGAGAGATGAGGAAGAACTGGGGAGTTGGGATGTGTAGATAAGGTCTTTCAGAGTTCTCACTTTGACCAGGGCAAAGCCCATTCAGTGCTTAGGAAGGCCAAAGTATTGCTACATTAAAGAATTACAAAGTGCTAGAGATACTGTTGCTGTTGCTGCTATCTGTATAGATAAGACAGAAGCTAAAAAGTACAAGCCAATGTTGTCCAAGTACTACTAAAAAAAAAAAGATCCAGCCTTGCCCATCCTCAGCCCATTTCTGTAAGCCAAGAGCAAGCCCTGCCTCCCAGCCTCCCAGCTGCTGGGTTTGCAAGACACCTCACTCCAGAGCCCTGTCTCCTCACTCTCCTTAGCTGAACATCTTCATCTTCTGTTGAGGGCTGGCTCTAAGAGTCTAATCTGGGTTTAAGATCCAGGACAGAGTTTGACTCTTGCCCAGGCTTAACCCGTAGGGCTCAATCATTTAGGAAGCAGGGCTCTCCAAATCTCCCCCTGCAAGGGAAGCTCTTGAGACATTCCTTCTCAATCTTTGAACCTTAGATTTACACATTCACTCCTCTATGCAGGTGGCACCAAGGCGCCTGGGAAAACCTTGGAAAATACAACCCAATCTAGGAACCCTGATAACCAGGAAATGTATGTTGTCACATCCTCAGCAGATGTTCTGGGGAGTATCTCACAGGGAGGACTCTTTGAAGTTAGGCTAGATTTTCTCTCTTTATCCTGTACCCTCAGATGAATAAACTGAGTCAGTTCTGCTGCTCCGCCTGGCCCATGTCTCAAGTTTATTTCGCGCTCTTCTGTTCGGTGCACTATTTGATTGCTGGCAACAATCTTCTGTCAAAGACACTGAATTTGAACCCAGAAGATCTGAATTTGAATCCTGATTCCACCACATAGAATTTGCATACACTGCATTGGAAAGAAGCTTTTATTGGCAGTCAAAGCAGAACTCTGTGACCTATGTGCCTTTGAGCAAATTGCTTAAATTCTATGGGCCTCAGTTTCCCTATTTGTAAAATGAGGGATTGGACTAAATGATCTCTGAGGTCATTCCTATCTCTAAATCTATGATCCTATGATAATTGGGCAAATTGTATGCTGTCTTTGAATCTCAGTTACTTCATCTGTAAAATGGGGATAATAATGTTTATAATACTTAACTTACAGGCTAACTGTGAGGATTAAATCATATTATTATCTCCCGTCCCCTCACTACTGACCTCACAGTGCTCCTGAGAGTCCCATACTAGCCCTTTCTGAGAAGCACTGTCCTGAACTCCTGGTTGTATAGGCTTTGCCATGTAATGTCTCCACTTTTCCCCATCTCCAATGTTGTCCTGGCTATGCTACAGAGCTGACCTTCTGCCCTCCTTGCAGCTCTGCTGAGCTCCCACAAGCCTCCTTTTCTTCAGCCTCCAGTCCTCTATACCTCTAGGCAAGATATGTCTGTGTCCCACCATACACTGGGTCAGCCAGTAAGAGAGCCAGCTGTACTCACTTGGTTCCTCTATGAGATTCTCTCCTTCTTCCCTGTGTTTAGGGCTATCTAGGAGAGTTAAGGCAAGGAACATAGAAGGTGGGACAATGGGACAGTCATGAACCTCAGGACCAAGGACAGGGGAAAGGGTTTGATTAAAGAAGAAACAGACATCCCCTAAAGCTGCCACCCATCACTCAATGAGATATTTTCTGAGACAATAGGAAGTAAATAAGTAGTAAGACCTTGCGATTTCTGTACTCCAGATCTCGGGCCAGGAGAGGTGGTGAACCATGTGGGGAAGCACCAAACCTCATCTCATGTGGAGAGATATCTGTGTCCTATGCCCAAAAGTGGCTTAGTCACTACCACCTCCCACCCCTCCCCCATCCCACTGCCAGGAGAGACTAAGGCTCCCACCTTCCTGAGAGTTTGGCTCCAAATCACTGAAGCACTCCGGTTATTCAGGGAAATCTGGTTGGAAGCATGGGGAGAAAGAAAAAGGCAGCCAAGTGTGATGAAGAGGCCAGATTAGAAGTTGGAGGACTACTGTAGTTCTGACTCTGCCCCTTTCTATATGTGTGACGCCAGACAAGCTCCTTAACCTTCTAGGCCCCCATTGCCTCATCTGTAAAGCCAGGAGACTTTGTGAGATGACCTAGAAGATCCCTTTCTGCTCTAAATCTGTGTCCTATCAAATTTCAAGCATTGCTTTCCCATTTCCACCACTCCGCACATATCGTGTTCCTCACTAAGGTTACACATCCATCCATCCATCCATCTATTCATATTCTCTCTCTCTCTCCCCATATATATGTGTGTTGTGTGTGTGTGTGTGTGTGTGTGTGTGTGTGTGTGTATACATATATATAACATGTATATATGTGTGTATATATATACACACATATAAGATACACACACACACACACACACACGCACACACACACACACGCAAACAAACTTCTACTTCCCTCACAACTCGACCCTTGAGTTCCCCTGTCACTATCTAGTATATTTCTCTAAATTTAGAGTCATGTAATGAATTGGTCCCAACTGTGTGGGTTCAGGGCCAGGGAACCCTGCATTCCTCTGCTAGAGAAGGAGCAGAAATAAGAGGGAGTTCAGTGGGAGGAGGGTCAATGAAACAGGTGGGAGTGGAGGAGGTTCTGAGGTAGAAAACCAATGCTTATTTCCTCTTTTAGAAGGGGTGTTTACATGCCCTCTAGCATAGACTGTGCTTGGGTTGGTGGGACCAGTTTGTGTTGCTATTTTCTGAATCCATGCTGCTTGGAGTCTACTCCTGCCATCCCCTGCCTGCCATGGGGTTCCTGACCATGGTTGCCCCAGCCTGTCACCACCTCTAGCTCTGTGCTACTGTGGGTAGAACTGCTGTGTCTAGGTAAGCAAAAAATGGGGGTACATAGACAAAGGGCCAATTCTAGGTCAGGCATCATTTGGGAGTTTAACTTGTGAGGAAAGCATGAGTGGGGAAGATGAAAACAAGGTGGGAGTGTTGAGGAGCTAAACATAACGAGTTCCTTAACTGGTGAGGATTTAATTAGTGGGGAAACATACTAACACTCCGCCCCCCCCCCGGCCCTTTTCCCATAACCTGTTGCCTCTTTAGGCTACATAGTACAAAATCATATTTGGATAGCACTTTGTTCTGAAGTCCTTGCTTCCCCTACAATGAGGAATCTTTATCAGTATTTCTTCATCATTTTTTAACCTAAGTCCTGCATTGAAATTTATGCATCTATGTTTTGTCTTATTCTAGAATTGTGTCTTTGGGAGAAAATATTTTAAATTGTGAGTGAAAATGGTCTGTCTCAGGGAGAGATGTTCAGAGGAAGGACAGATTTTTGTCTCTTTTGATTTTCTCTTTCCCCAAGCAAAGAATGGAAAGGAACACACATTTAATAAGTACCTACTATGTGCCAGGCTCTGTACTAAGAATTTTACGAATGTTACATGATTTCATCTTCACAATGACCCTGTGTGGTTGATGCCATTTTAGAGTTAAAGAAACTGAGGCAGAGGCTAAATGACTTGCCCAGGGACATAAAGCTATTAAGTTTCTGAGGTTCAACATGAACTCATCTTCCTGACTCCAGGCCCTGCACTCTGTGCACTATGTCACTACCTAGTTGCCTCTGAGGAGAGCTGCTTAGACTTAAAATAGTTTCACTAATTAAAAAATTGTCTCTGACCTACTTGTGTACAAAGTGCAGTGTGCTGAATTTTTTCTTCCACACTATAAGGAAGCATTAGAGAGATGGCGCAATAATACAAGAGAATTAAAGCAATGCTTTCCACACTGAGGTAGTAGCTCAGTTCTTACATAGCATCGGTCCTGTCCATTTCATTTGAAGGCCAAAATCACTGCCAGGTGAGTCCTCCCTATGGGCTGGGGTCTTGAAGGTCTCTCCCAAGGAAGCTCCTTGTTCCTTGCTCCTCATGTCATTGACGCTGTGAGGCTGCAACCCCTGGACTGGATTCTGATGCCTGGATTAGTGAACCTCAAATTCTTAACCCAGATTGAAGATTTTCCCCTCTGAACCTAGAATGGAAAAGAAAAAATAAACATCTTTCAGAGTGATGGAAAGCTCTCCTCCTTTTTCCTTGGTCTCGTGAGAGTCACAAATGAGTCACCTTGCTCCTCTAAGATAAAATGTAGCAGAGACAGTGAGAGCTGACTTAGGCCTTTTGAAAAGGCTGATGGTTCTGGCTGTTCACTCACTTCTCCAAAACATGTGGCAGGCAATCTGAAACCAGTTAAAGAATCTTTATCCATGCTCATATGCATATATACACATACATATACATATATGTTCACATATATGGATGTGTCTATGCATACAGATATGCATAGACATATATTTAGTTTTGCTTATTTCATTCTGCATCAGTTCATATATTGAAATGTCTTCTTAATGCTTATCTGAATTAATCATATTCATTATTTCTATGGCAAAATAAAATTCATTTAGTTTAGCATTCCCTTATTATGGACTTCTACTTTGTTTCCAGGTCTTTGCTCTCACAGAAAGTCTCCCTATGAATATTTTGATACTCATCTTAAAACAAAAACTTTATGCTTGACTTTACTTGAACCTCTAGCTTCTCACCTAAATACAGTGGATAGAGCAATGGGCTTAGAGTGAAGAGGAACTGAGTTCAAATTTTACCTCAGATCTCAAGTTTAACCTCAAGAAAATTAATGAACCTTTGTCTGTCTCACTTTCTTCATTTGTGAAGTAGGCATAATAATAATTCCTATCTCTCCAGGATTTTTGTGAGAATCAAATGAGATTTTTTCTTCAACCAAAGACAAGGTTTATTAGAACGTCCGTCTTATTGGGCAGACTCTTAAGGAGTCGGAACATTAGTGAGCTACTGGCTACATTTTAAGAATCTGAGCACCTTAATGGAGGCCAGATGGACCTTACACACAGAAAGACTGTGAGAGGGATCTAGGAGTGGCCAAGCAGTTTGGGGTGACTGGAGGAAGGGTCTAAGGAAGATCTAGATGGGAGTGGCCAGTAAACTGGAGTGAACAGAAAGCCCAGGACCTGGACCACATGGCCAAGAGAGAATGAAGTCTAGATAGGATTAAGAGTGAGAAGTGGCCATGGGGAAATGGGAAGTAACAAAATAGAATTGGGAGATTTGGCACAGCCACAGTGTAAGGCCAGTTGATAGGATTATAGCCTCAGGCAAAAGCCAGAGATTTGGCCAGGTGGGAAAGTCTAGGGTTTTTCCTTTTTGGAGTCCAGATCCCATCCCCATCATTCCCCCTCAAACAAATGGGGCCCAAATTCTTTTGGGATAAGGGGTGAAGGTCTTGGCTTTTGAAGCTTCCTGCTGGCAAGGGACATAGAGCTGTCCCTGCCTCAAGGAGTTCCCAAAGAGGAGGTTGAGTGGGACCAAGCACAGGCTGCATCCAGGGAATAATGGGGGGACATTGGCTGGTACCCGCTGTTTGCTACAACTGTAGGTGAATGGCCTGTAGTCTAGAAGACACAAATCTGACAGAAAAGACTGCAGAGCCAGATATAGTGAGAAGCAAAAGTTTAAGAGCCCTATTAAAATCATTTATACTTGACTGGCAGGATTATCTGATCTCAAAAGTTTAAGTAACACTTCTGCAGGTAGAAGTTTCCACCCCTGAGTTCAATAGTTACACAAATGAATTTGGCCAAAAGACTGACTTTCATTCTAATTATCACTGAAATTCTCCTCCCCAAACCAAACTGAAGATGTTTCTGATTTAATTTCAGTTGTTTGGACATTGAATGACTACACATTCAGGTCAAAACAGCCAGATCTCACACACTTGCATTGATCTTTTACTGTCTATTTGCTCTGACTATAGAAATTTGCTATAAAAGGATAAAGCAGAGACAAGATTTAGGGCCCAAATGTTTCAGGATAAAACATCTTGAATTCAGATAATTCAGTTTTCCAACCATGTTAGTATCAAATCCACCTCATAGCCAGACTCATGAATAACCAGGTGGGTAACATTCCTTTTCAAAGGAACACAATGAGGTAATTGAGCCAGGAGGATCCAATCTGTAACTGAGGCTAAAATTCTCCCCTCAGCTTTTCCCAATGCAGACTTCCCACCACTAACACATTCTCTGAGTAGCTTGTGACCTTTCTCTCAGACATGGTGGGTTATTGACTATTGATGGATTATTATCCATCAGACAACTCAATAAAATCATTTATGGTCCCATGAGCCTTTACCTCAAACAACAAGTTTTACTAATCACAGCTTAGGAAAAACTTTTTCCAGGATTTACATCTCAAATTTAAAATTGTCCTGGTGTAAAAAGCCAATTATTAGACATTATTTCTATATTCTTGCAAATTCTCAGCAAGCCAAAACCCAAGCAAGCTTTTTCAAGTTTATACATTAAAATAATAACCAACAAAAGTCAAATTGTTTTAGTGGTAACCAAATTATGAAAAGTTGCTTGACATAACTGATACAAAAAGTTCACCAATTTGAAACTTGAAATAAACCCATTACCAATCAGGTGAATTCCATTTTGTTAAATTCATTTCCAAATTACTTTACACAGAGAATCAATATCTCATCATTAACAGTTAAAACTACAACTTTAAAAAGAGCGTGCTTACCCAAGTTCAGAGGCTAGCTTCTTTACCTTGAGCAGGATGTGCTGAACCTGAGTGATGCTTCCAGGCAAAGGTTGCTCCAGGGCCCAAGGCCATTGCCAGTGGGGCCCATGCTGTAGCTGCTGCCCATCCTTCCTTTTGCCAGGTGGGGGAGAGTGAATTCAAAGGTAGAGGTAGGGGGAGGGTGAAACTCTCCTCTATGAGAGGGATTAACAGATACCTTCTTGACTCAAGGAAAGGGAGGGGGAGAAGGAAGTGACCAGGGTTGTAAGGAGAAGTTTCAAAACTCCTTAATGATCCATCACAAAACTTCTAGAATCTGCTAAGATGTTTTTAGCTATTCTAACTTTTGCTAGTTCCTCCAGGAAGGAGGATTCAGGGGTGTAGAGGGAAGGAAGTAAATAAGTCTCAGGGAACCAAAAAGCACCTGCAGTTTTCCCAATTCCCTAGCACCAAGAGAATTGACAGAATTGGGCATACACTTCCAGATAGGGTGTCCATCCTTATCTTCTATGCCGTGGAAGGTGTACTCAGGTCCATGGCCTCAAACCAAACCAATGGATCAAGAGCCTGAGAGCATCAGGCTGAGTTTGAGACAGCCTTGGTAACTGTCTGCCTGAAAAAGTACCTCCAAGCCTTCCTTGTCCTGGAGAGTGATCTCAAATGCAGAGCAAGAAAGAAGGGGGGGAGGCTTACATACCTTGCAGTCTTTGCTGGAGAAGACCTTGGGATTAGGCAGCCTCCCCGAACAGGTCACCAAAATATTGAGGTTTAGGGGCTTACAGGTGCTGGAATCACAAAATCACAACATGTGAGTCCTGCCCAAAATAATTTGACCCAAGGTTTCTTTCAGTCAAAAACAAGGTTTATTAGAACATCCATCATATTGGCCACACTCTTGAGGAATCTAAGCATTTGTATCACTAACGCAAGCAGTCCAGATCCTAAGATTCTGAGCAGTGGCTAGATTTTAAGAATCTCAACCAAATGAGATATTTTTAAAATACTTAGCAGTACTTGGTACATAGTAGGCACTTAAAAATGCTTATTCTCTTCTTTTTTTCTTTCCTATTTGCTGGTGAACTTCTCAAAGGAGTAGGGTGAATCTACCGACTCTACTTCCTCATCACCCATATTCCTTAACATCCTTAAATCCAGTTGTAATCCTCACAACTCATGGAAATTCTGAAATCATTAACCTGTAGGGTTAGGGATAATGTCTCATTTTTGTATCTCTAGCAGTGATTATTGTAGTGCCTGACACACAGGGAACATAAATAAATATTTGTTGAATGAATAGATTGAAAGGGGATGATGGGAGTCTCCTTTGAAAGGATAGTATTAAAATAAAATAAAATGAAATGAAATGAAAAAATGAAAAAGAAAGGAGATGGTAATGGGGTTGAACTCAAGTCAGGAACATGGCAGTCTCCAGTAGGGTGAGGCAGCACAATTAAGTTGAAAATCAGCTTGGTTACATCCTTTTCCCCCTTTAATTTATTTTCTAGCTTGTTGGATTTGTTTTTTTAAAAAACATTTTATTTTGTATTTTGTCTTAACATGTTACTCATTTTCCTCTCCTGTAATGAAGAAAAGCAATCAAATAAAACCATCTTCTAAGGAAACCTTGTCCACCACATATACAATATTCTAGCCTTGTAGTCCCCTCCACAACTGGGGAGGAGGCATCTGCATACACTTTTTCTGACAGATGAGGTGGCCTCTTCTCATGCACAAACCCTTGGCCTAGTCTCTTATTCAACTTTTCTGCTTTAACTTTCACAATTATTTTATTATATTTCATTTCTTTTCAAACTCCTAGTATCAACAACTCTCTGAGACAAATATGTAAGACTGTCTTCAAATTACCCACATAACAGACAGATACAGACAAAATGTTCAATCGTTACTGTACCGGAAATTTATTTGTTTGTTTAAGAAAGTGCTAAAATCTTTTCATATATCTACAAAGTCCTTCTGTATCTAGGGGAGGGTCAGTAACTGTGCAACCCTGAGCTCCTAGGAATTCAGCCATGAGAAGGGTGTTAGTTGAGGCTGATTACATTGCCTGGAGTTTATGGACACCTCTATCCTCTGAAGATAAAGAGACACTGGAGGCCAAGGGTAAGGAAGAGTCCTCATCCCAAGCTTGACAGGAGTCCCTCTATGCTGCCCTCAGGAATGGACTAAGAAGGATGAGGACTAAAATATGAAGAAGTAGACAGAGATGAATGGGTTGCTGCCATGCCAAGACCTCAGTCATTCCACAGGCTGATGAGTCAGTCATCCTCAGGTTCCCAAGGTTAGAGGATGTCTTGTGTTCTTCTTTGGGCCATTGATTTCTCTCTTCAGCGTGAAGTACAGACCAGTATCACTGCAAGCAGAATTCCCATCACAAGGAAGAAAGGGATGCAGTACCAGATTTTAAAAAATAAGGAAGTAGGTGGACTTGGATCTACATTTGCACAAAAGTAAGAGATAGAAGGAAGAATTGTTAGAATCCTGGTGAATCAACAGATCAAGTAAACAAACACCCATCAAGCACTAAAGGAGAAAGAAAGAAAAGGAAGTCATCTGTCCTTGGGTCTGGGATTTGGGATGGATACTGGGAGCAAAGAAAAGACTGCTTGGATCCCTAAGGTGACCTGATGCTAAGAGTCTCAGCCAAGACATACTATGAGGGTCTCTCCTAGCTGTGAGAGGGAGAGAGAACAGTAAGAGTGAGGTGCTACATCTACACCATATCCATGCTATATTTGAATTGTGTAATATTTGACATCAGTTTAATTATTATTTATTATAATACTATTATTATTACTATAATTTCTGAATCAAGTTTCTTGATCTTCTAAGCCCGTGTCATATTTTCTTCTTCTTCCTGCCTGGACCTGCAGATTCAAAAGATGAACTCTGATTTGTCGTTCTGGGGATTCAGGAATGCAGGATTTCATCAGAAGTACCTGGTCATTTACCCTTGGGAATGTGGGGTAAGTTGCAAGCATTCATACTAAAGTTATTGTGCTGGTCCAAATGATTAGGAGCATGCTTGAATCAGGGAGCATTGCACCTCAGGATTCTAAAACATAGAATAGATTGCATGGGAAAGAGAAGTTATTCCTTCAATGGAGGAATCCAGAGTTGGGGAGTAAGGGGAGAGGTATAACTTCTGTTCCTTTGCAGTCACATCTGAATGAATGATGATGCCCCACCTACTGAGAACTCCTTTGTGGACTTCAGTACAAATAAAATAGATAGCCAGGGCAGATATACACTTTCAGCCTGTGTGCTGGTAGCAAGAAAGGCAATTCACAGTGATTTAGTACCCTAAAACTATTATTAACCCTCTCCAGATCCATCCTCCAAAGTCCCCTTCACTCAAAGCCCAACATCCTTCATTCTTCCTTGGTTGGGTATATCTCATATTGGATAGTAATTCTCACCACTTTTGACTTTTTCTTCTTATTTCCTATGGTCTCTGAACAGAAATAAAAAAATATATAGTTATGTATATAGTTCATGTATAGTCATTATAGTTCACTTGACTGATGGAAAAGTTGGAATCTTTGAAAAACCTTGCTCCCTTTCCATTTTGATAGAGTGTGACTTTAGAGGTTCCTTTGTTTTCCCAGCCATGGCACCTCAACACCATGGGCTTCCCTTCCATATAAACCAATTTCAAGGACTGGCATAGCAGCCAGTCTGAAAAGATAAACAAAGACCAAAAATCCATGAGGTCTCAACTTGTAGTAGAGTCTCAAGTCACTGTAGACTGGGATGGGGAGAGATGGTAAGCTCCCAGGACAAAGAAAAATGTCAGGTGGTGAGGTGCCCTCAGGCAGTAGCACTGACTAGATGCTGTAGGAGGCTATCAAAACAACTTTATTGCCCCTGGAGATCTTCCAATTTCATAGGGTCATAGCATAGACACCTATGTGAAAAAGTCATAAGATATAAAAAAATAGATAGAAATGCATGACGTTCTCTATCTCCTGATAGAGGGTGAGATAGATTCAAAGTACAGAATGAAACATGCATTTTGAAACATGGCAAATGTGTGGATTTGTTTTGCTTGACTACATATCTTTCTTACAAGGATTTGTTTTTCTTTTTTCTTTTTTTCATGGTGGGATTTGGAGAGAAAAGAGATATATCAGTAGTGCTGCCAAAAAAAAAAAGAAAGAAGAAAGAAGGGAAAATGGTTATTGGACCATTTTTTTTAATGCACAGAAGAGAACAGAATGAAGTTCAGAAGGAAAACAAAGAAATATGATAGCTTTTAAAATAACACATTGAATTTCTTTCATACTTTTCTTTAAAAAGCAAACTGTACATAGCATAGATACATGCTTTGTCATTGAATCTTTTTTATGTTGTATTTTGTATATGAAAATTATTATTTTGGGAGCATACATTAAGTTCAGAACTTAAAAAAATAGAAGACAGAAAATCATTCATGCAAACAAAACATAAAATCCATCTATGCATTCTGGGGAACAAAATCCAGGATCTTTGATGTCAAATTAAATTTTAAAATTCAGTTTAACAGGCATTAGTTAAGCACTCACCCTGTGTCAGGCACTAGGGATACAAATGCATAAATGAAACAACACCTGCCCTTGAGGAGCTTATGTTCTACTGGGGAAAAACAACCTGTATATAGATAAGAAAATACAAAATACATACAAAGTAGTTGGGGTGAGGGGAGCAGCAACAATTAGAACAACCAGAAAAGTCCTCTTATAGGAGGTGGCATTTTGAGGCCAATCTTGAAGAAAGGGAAGATCCAAGAGGCAAAGGTAAGAAGTAAGAATATGTCAGGCATGGGGACAACTGGTCCAAAAACATGGAGGTGAGAGCTGGCTGTCATGTATAGCGAATGGCAAATAAGCCACTTTGGTAGAATATAGAGTCCATGAGGAGGAGTAACATTAAACCAGTCTAGAAAGATAGTTTGAAGTCAGATATGAAAGGCTTTAAATACCAAGCAGGGAAGTTTCTACTTTGTCCTTATTTTTATAGGTTATCAGGGAACCACTGAAGCTTCTTGAGCTGTAAACTGACATGGTCAGACCTGTGCTTCAAGGAACATCAGTGTGGCCTCCATGTGGAAGTTGAATTAAACAGAAGAAAGACTGGATGCTTGGATACCAATTAGGAGGCTATTGCAATAATATAATAGTCAATGAATTAGGAGCCCTTGAACAAGGATGGCACAGTCATGTGAGTGGAGAAGGGACAAATGTAGAGTTAGAATCAGTAAGACTAGAGAACTGGTTGGATTTAGGAGGTGAGAGAGGAGAGTGAAAAGTCCAGAATGATTTCTACATTGCAAATCCAAGTAAGGCCCTTGACAGAAGTAGGGAAATTAGGAGGAGGGATGAGTTTAGGGGGCAAAATCAGTGAGTTCAGTAGAGTTTGAGATGCTTATGATACATTCAGGTAGAAATGTCTAACAGGTAGCTGGAGATGTGGAACCAAGACCTTAGGAGAGAGTTGAGGGTACAATATGTAGATTTAAGAGACATATGCATAGAGTGAACCCATTGGAGCTGATGAGATCATGGAGATAGAGAGTGCTGAGAGAGAAGAGAAGAGGGCACAGAACAGAGCCCCTAGATGTACCCAAAAATCAGGGGCTCAATATTGATACTGAGAAAGATCAGTTACCAAGAAGGAAGTGTTACAAAAACCCAGAGGGGAGAAAGTAGCCTGAAAGCCAAATAGTGTACAGTGCTATGGAGAGATCTAGAAGGATGAGGGCTTAGAAAAAGCCATTGGATTTAGCAATGAAGAGATCATACGTCTAATAGGAACCTAAGAAGCCATCTAATCCAATCCCCATTTTACAAATGAGAAAATGTAGGGGCAGCTAGGTGACGTAGCAGATAGAACTCTGGCCTTGGTGTCAGGAGGACCTGAGTTCAAATCCGGTCTCAGACACTTGATACTTACTAGCTGTGTGACCCTGGGCAAGTCACTTAACCAAATTGCTAAAGCAAAAAAGGAAAAAAAAGGAAATGAAGATCCAGACAGGGTTAACTCACTTGCCCAAGGCAATAGAGATTATCAATTTCCATGGAAGGATGGGCTCAGCTTTCCTGACTCTGAAGACAGGGTTCATCATATGGTACCATGCCAGCTCATTGCATGATACCATGACAGATTATTGGTAATTTTGGAAAGAACAGTTTCAGTCAAATGATGGCACAGAAGTGAAACTGCAAATGTTTGAGAAGCAAATGTGACATGAGAAAGTATGGACAAATGTAGATAGCTTTGTCTTTGAAAAACAAAAAAAAGATTTTATTACTCTCTTTTATTTTTAACTTTGCCTGGTTTTCTGCCTGTATCGCTTCTACCATATCTGCAAAGCATCCTTTATAACAAAGAATTTTCATTAAACAAAAAAGAAAAAGAAGAGAAAATTTTCAGTAAAAGTAACCAATATATCAAAAATATCTCGCATTATATGCAATGTTCTATCCCCATTGGTCTCCCCATCTCTGCAAAGAAGTGGAGGGAGATGGTGAACATTTTTTCCTATGATTTTGGCTCTGAAAGAGAAGAGAGATGTAGACTAGCTTGCTAGGGATGGTAGAGTTAAGTGGATTTTTTTTAAAGATTGAGGACACTTCAGTAGAGAGGGAGCTGATGGGTAAGGAAATATTAAAAATCATAGGGAGAGAGAAGGGATGGTCTAAGGGACAAGCTCCCATAGGAGACATGAGGTGATGGGAACAAAGGCACAGAGTGGTTGGTCTTGCGATGACCTCCAGTGTTCTCTCCATGGAACTGCATTGTCACCTACATAGAGATTTAATAGAAATCTTGAGAATTAATAAGTTGCCATTCATTGAGAATGAAAGAAGAGAAGAAAAAACATCCTAGGAAATCATCTACATTTAGGGATTGGAAAGAGGAAGAGGACAAAAAGAAAGAGGCAGAAACAAAATGATCAGAGTAGTTGCAAGCAAGATGAAGGATAGGCAATACTGCCAAATATTGCAGAGAAAGTAAGAAGGAAGAACCAGAAAAGGTGCTCTCATGAGAGTAACTCATGAGAGTTATTGGAGAACCTTAAGAAAGCAATTTCATTGGATTATTATGGGCAGAAGTCAGATCGGAGAAGATTGAGGTATGAGTTTGCTATGTACTGGGAAGAAAAAAAGATACAGGGAGTATAGATCACTTTTCTGAGAAGTTTGGTGGTGAAAGGACAGTGATAGAATTGTAGCTTAAGTCAGTAGCAGACTCCAGGGAACACTATTTTAAGGCAGGCAGGACTAGCTTGTTTATAGGCTGGGGAGAAAGGTCTGATTGAAAGAGATATTAAAGATACAAGAGAAACGCTGAGTGAGCAATATCTCAAGGGGAAGTGATTCAGAGCACAGGTGATGGGGTTAATTTTGGAAAGGAGGGGTTAGATGATTTGCTCTGAGTCAGGTGAGAAGTATGATTTGAATGATGAGGGAGATAGGAGGGAAGTTCAGGTATCTTCTGTCTGATGGCCTGGATCTATTTTTTTTAAGTCAGCAAGGCAGAGTCATTTATTCCATCAATTGGCAGGCCTTTATTGAATGCCTGCAGTAGGTCAGGCACTGTATTAGGCACAGGGGATACATAGAAAAATGAAAGACTTGCCTTTAAAGGGCTTACTGGCTATAGAGGAGAAATTTTGCACTTGTAAATAAGTATACACAAGGTATGCTACCCATTTTGGATTTGGACAATTTTATTTGTGGAAAGGAAGAGAAACAAGATAGTTCTGAGGAGACCTGAGAGAAATCAGACTCAGAGAAACATACTTACTGAAGACAAAAATGGCCACAGTGTGTTGTTTTCCAATACTTTGTTTCCATATGACTTTGAGGCTAAGTAGGAAACCTGCACAGCTTAATTTTTCTTGTGACTAGGGTTGGGGATGGGATGCTCATATCCATATTATATAGAAATAAAATTATTGTTTTATTTATTATAATATATCATTATTATCATGCTATATTATAATTAGAAATAAAATTATTTTTATTCAGATGAGAACACTAATATCTGAGGTGAGGATGGAGAAATCAGGAAAGTTTATTTGTGGAATTTTTTTTCAACTCTGCTCATCAGCATGTAAGTAGGAGTGGAGTCTACTTTTGGTGAGAGTATTTCAGGGCTGAAGCTTGGCAGTGAATGCGCTACTTAATGGCAGGGCCCTGCACTCACCTTGGAAGACTTCTAGCCTCACAGGATCATATATAGGATGTGGGGTTCTTGGAGTACTTTATAAGTACATATCTGGATGATCTTCCCCCCCTACTTAGGGGATTCTTTTGATATTCTGGGTTCTTTAAGAAAAGCTATCCTCTTAAAGCTTATCACTCGGGAACTGTGGTATCCAAAGGAGGTGAGCATAGAGAAATTGGACCTGTGGCTAGGACTCCTAAAACCCCCACCCATCTGAGGTGATTGCCACATACTGGGACAGCCATGACTCTCCATGGCTCATTGCCTCCACTGGAATTACTGAGACAGGTGGTATGGCATAATGTATAGAGCTGGGCTTGGAATGAGGAAGACTCCCCTTCAGGTCCTGCTGCTGTGTTATCTTGGAGATGTCACAGCTCTCTGAGCCTCAGTCTGTTACTTCTAAAGCAATAATAACAGTAGTAATAATGCCTGCGGAGCTTTTTATGGAGATCAAATAAAACATGGATGAACAAATGCTTCATAAACCTAAAAATGCTACCTAAATATCCATTGTTCCTATTGTCTCTTTCTAGCATTTTCTTGTCCACTGCATAAGAACCACACAACCTTGGTCCTAGGTGTCTGTCTCTTCCCCTTAAATGCCTTTGCTAACTCCCTTTACCTTGGACAATGATGACCACAGCTGCGGATTGATGCCTAGCACTCCCAATGTTCCCTTCACAGTAGTAGGAACCACTGTGAGTATGGTTCATTCGAGAGACAATATAGTTGAAAACCCAATTGTGAAACTTTAAGACAGTTCCATTGTGGTAGTATGTGACTTTGTGCAGTGGTTTGCTCCTCCAACCATGGCACCTCAGGATCATAGAGTCACCTTCCATGAACTCTAATCTCTCTACTTGGAGTAGCAGCCAGTCTGAAAGGCAAACACAAAGGCCATTAGCTCAGGACATTTCAGCTTCTCCTAGAGCCTTGGGCCATCTAAGACTTCCTGCCACCTCCAAAGACAAAGAAAAGCAGACCCTGACTCTGAACAGCGATGCCAGTCACTGAACCTGGCATGAGGACACACGGAATGCCACATCTTGTTGTTTGTCATTCATTTTCAAAGAGGACCAATGACATCAAAGGGTGATGTCTTGACTCAGGGGTGAATTAGATTTAAGAGAAGTACAGGTGTATGAAGTTGTCAGCCTCACTCTCTCTTCCAGAATCATCAAAGTCCAGTGGTAAGACAAAAGTTAGGATGACTGGCAATCACCCAGGATGAAGTGGATATCCTGGCATCTCTGATCTCTGACCAAGCTCTAAGCACTCCATAATGCCTGCTTCAACCACCTTCATGTCCGTTGGAGCAAGATGTTCTTATCCACCCATTCCACTGACAGGAGGCTTCACGTGCTTGGGGTAGACACTCCACTACCCTGCCAATAGGTTTGTGCCTGGTTGGTTACCCTCCACATCATTAGACCATCTGCCAAAATGGGTGACAACCACACAAGCTACAGCTTCTTGGAACTACAGGGGAGAGGTGAGTGCCAGGTGGACACCAAAGGTAGATGCGCACCCCAGAAAAGGGCTCGGCAAAGCCTTTTACCAAAGGTGCCAGTCTTCTTGACTCCCCATACACTCCATCTGCCCACATATAATCCAATGGGCTCACCACATATCAGAGTCAAAAAAATGGGGAAAGAAATGGGGAGAATGTGCAAGTAAGACATACATGGAGGTAACTTGGGAGGAATTAAAGAGGGGCCTAAACATTTCAGAGGATGTGAGGTCATTTGTAATCTGGAGCCATAATTCTCATCCTGCAGGGGATGCTAGTACAGCATGATGAACTGACCATGGGACTCTACTCCTCAGCCAACTCCTGTGGCTCCCCATTGCCTCTAGGAAAAAATGCAAATTCCTCTGTTAGCTGTGAAAGGCCTTTACAACCTAGCCATGGACTGCATGGACCACAACCTAGGACGTGACTCTCCCCTCCCTTGGATTTGACCACATAGCCAAAGTGGCCTTCTCTCTGTTCCTCTCATGCTGCCTTCAGCTCCCAACTCCGGGCTTTTACACTGTCCATCTCTATACCCAACTCCCACACCCTATGCCTGGAATGCACCCTCTTCTTACCCCTCCCTCATAGAGTTCCTCTCTTCTTCTAAGATACAGCTCAGGCTATACCTTCTGCACCACACCTTTCTTGGTCATCTCAATTGTTAGTAGCCTTCCTTCCAAAAACCCTTGTATATATTAGTATTCACAAAATTTTATACATATGTTATATGTATATTTATTATGTATATAAGATGTGTTGCATGTCTATGCAATATAAATAATATATGTGTATGCATATATACACATACATTACATCTACTTGTTATCTCCCCCATTATAATGCAAACTCTTTATGACCAGGGATTGTTTCATTCTCTGCACTTGTATTTCTGGTGCTAATTCACAGGCCTTTAATAAATACTTATTGATGGATTAAGTGTAGTTCCCTAGTCTCCTGGCCACTCAGAAGGGCATTCTGAAAATTTCCTGGCAGAAAGGAGTAGTAAAAATAGAGTCTGTGAGAGAAACTTAGAACAAGACAAGCTAAACTCATATCTAAGTAAGGGCAATAGTGAAAGGAGAATTAAAATAACCTATAGATTTCTCAGGAACTCTCCCACCCATCCCCCTTGACATTAGTTCTGCCAATAAACAGGATATGTTCCCTTCCAGGCTGTATTGTAAGCAGATTTTAACTCTTCTTTTCCCACTCCAACTTACCCCAAGATCCTTCTCCTTCACTTACCACTAAAGACCTGTAGTTTCACAGAGTTGCTCAGAGCAGTGTGTTCTGTCCTGCACTGGTATTCCCCACTGTCCCCGATGTTGACAGCTGGGATGGTATAGGAGTCCTGGTGGATGGGGAGAGCTGACCCATTGTGGAGCCATTCAATGGAATGGTGTCCAAGGGTCTGGAACACTTTACAATTTAAAGTCACATTGTCCCCTCGGAGCACATTGAACCATGGGGGTTCCAGGGTCAGTACTGACCTTGGGGGACCTGGTGGGTAGAGAGTAAAGGAGAATAAAGGAAAAGAGTCTCCAAGGAGGCATAAAATCCCAGATGTGAGGGAGGACACCAGTGACAGGCACAGAGAATGGAATGGAGCCCACACAGTGCATATTTAGGGGGCTGTGGAGTAGACAAAATGTCAGAGCTGGTCAACTGCTAGTGGCAGTTTTCTCACACATAGATGCCACACTGAGTCATGAGGCCCCAGGGCCTTTTCCAGAAGGATGGACAGTTCCCTAAGGACCCCCTAGGTCCCATCTGATTGGTAAAACAACCACAAAACACTAAGAAACATCATCTTCTTCTCAAAGAGAACTCATCTCAAGGAAAATAATAATGAATGATCTGCAACTTCAATCTTCAAAATCTAGAGAAAACCCTGAAAATCTCTGGCATCAGATTGTTCTGAGGGAAGGAGAGTGATCCATTTAGTGAGGAAATACTCTTCCTGCTGGAAGAGGGGTCACATGTGCCTCCATTCCACGGCCAGGCAGCCCAGCCCCTACAGCTGCTAGCCTCATCCAAGGATCTGAATCTCTGCCCCCATACCTCCTCCTCCAACCCACTCAGCTGACATTCATCCAGAGACCCAACATTTAAAGGATAGTAGATAACACAGACACATGTACAATGCACAATACATGTACTCAGCAAGGTGTAGACAGCAGCACCCACAGACTGTGAGCTCCTCGAGAGAAGGGATTGTTTGCCCCTTTCTTTGTCTCCCCAGCCATCACTGGTTCCTGAGACATCACAGACACCTAGTAAATCCTTGCTGACTTGGTTTGACTTGACCCACGTAGCACATACACAAATATTTAGAGATCACTTGGGGCAGGAGAAAGAATGCTGCCTTTGGATCCAAGGATCTTGGGTTCAAATTCTGGTTTAGCCACTTGCTAGTTGTGTGACCTTGGGCAACTCAGTTAACCTTTCTTGGACTCAGTTTCCTCACCTGCAAAACATTGAAGTTGCACTAGAGGACCCATCCTGCTCTCATCCATGACCATCAACTATATTGACAGCCTCAGAGCAACCACAGACACATAGAACCCAGACATGTCATGGGGAGTGGGGATGGGAAACAAGCATTTATTAAGTGCCTACTGTGTGCCAAGTACTGTGCTAAGTATTTTACACATATTATCTCATTTGATCCTAAATCGTAAGACTTAGAGCTGAAAGGGACCATAGAGATTATCAAGTCCAACTTCGTCATTTTACAGATGAGAAAACTGAGGCTTGGAGCAGTGAAATAATGAGGGCAAATGGGTAGCAAATAGCAGGCCTTTCTTTCCATGGAGCAGGGAGTGAAATACACAGATGGGCCCAGGGATGCAGAAAAAGTGGGATATACACAGAAGAACTGCTCAAACCCAGGAGGGCAGCTAGGTAGGGCAGCGGGGATAGGGTGCCAAGCATAAAGTCAGGAAGATCTGAGTTCAAATCCAGCCTCAGAGACTTACTAGCTGTATGACCCTGGGCAAGCCCTGTTTGCCTCAGTTTCTTTATGAATAAAATGAGCTGAAGAAGGAAATGGCAAAGCACTCCACTCTCTTTGCCAAGAAACCCTCAAATGGTGTCACAAAGAGTCAGCTGACTGAACAGTAACTTGCTTAAACTCAGAGAACCATGGGGACCCATCCGAGCAGACTAGCCTTTTTTAGAGGGTATATGCTTCCCGTGACTTTGTGACTGAAAACCAAGTTTCCTGAGTAGCTAGGTGGCACACTGGATAGAGCACTGGGCCTGAGATCAGGAAGGTCTGAGTTCAAACCTAGGCTCAGACACTTATTAGCTGTGTGACCTTGAGTGAGTCACTTAACCCTTATTTGCCTCGGTTCCCCATCTGTAAAATGGGGACATATTAGAGAAGGGGGGTGAAACATGACTGAACCACCTGAAAACAACAGGCTCCTGAGGAAGAGGGTTAAGTCTCCAGCAGTAGAAAGGAGAACAAAGAGTCTTGGGTGGAAGGTTCTGGGACAAGAGAGTTATCTCAGTGACAGCTGCTTCCTCACTGGCCCTGAAGTCTCACTCTCCTCTTAATCAGGCGGGTTCAAGGCTCCAGTCAGGATAGGAGCTGCTGTCCTGGATGTACTGATATGTCCTATACTGCACTGATATGGATGTTCAGGAAGGAGTCAGAAGGGGTGCTTAAGAAGAGTAGAGAGGCCAGAAATAAATACAGAACTTACCATTACTCCTGATGGCTGGAGCTGCAAGAGACCAAAAAGCAGGGATTAGACCAGGACAGGGAACCCAGGGGCCAGGCAGCTACAGCATGGAACTCCCAGGAGCCGGGCTAGGGACCCAGACAAGGTTGTTGTACAGTCTTTCCCCAGGCTTCCTCACAGCTGCCTGGAATCAGAATGATTGCAGGGGCACTGGAAGTCCCCTCCCCTCAACAAAATAGGAAAACAATCTACTGCCTGCTCAGTGACATAGGAAATGCCACCATTAGAGACCTTCCTGGGGCTTAATAATTGTTCCCCTTTATAATTCAAACATCTTTCCATCTTAGCAGGAATGAGTTTATTGAATTAACCCCTCTTTTTTGAGAGTAGGATTTAACCTAAGAGTGCTCATGAACAGGGAGAAGGATAAAGAAGTCTCTGGGGGACTGGTTATATCTGGCTATGCTTTTTCTTCTTTGTAATTGTTTTAGTTGTTATTTATTTTTCTTTAACAGTCTTTCTTTTTTTAAAGGTAGAATTCCAAATTCTCTCCCTCCTTTCCACCTCTCTGTTGCCCATTGAGAAGGCAGGAAATGTGATATCACTCATACATGTGCAATCATGCAAAACTTATTTCCATATTCCTGGCTATGCTTCTTAAGAACTGTGAAAGGCCATGGGGGCTGTGTGTCTAGGATTTGTGAGTAGTTACTATTTAACCAGGTGTATAATCCTGAGCAAGTCTCTTAACACAGCCTGCCTCAGTTTCCTCATCTGTAAGATGGAGACAATGACAGCACCTACATCACAGGGTTGTCATGAAGATCAAATGAGATCGTATATGTAAAACCCTTTAGAAACCTTAAAGTGCCATTTAATGCTAACTCTTATCATTAATGCAAAGGCAGATTTGGATCCTTGCCTGAACAGGGGAACAAGGTCAGGGATGTTTAGATGCTTAGAGATTGTGCAGAGGGAAGGTGCAGGAAAATCAGAACTTTCCCCCCATGTATACAGAAAGACAGAGCAGGATGCTAAGAGAAACCCATCTCCCCAGCAAGGGATTGAAAATGGGAAGAACTGCAGATATCCAAGTATCTTGGACAGAGGAACTGCTCTGAAAGTCAAGACAGGGCTGTGTGATCTCAAGAAAGTCCCTTCATGTACCAAGTGTTTATGGAACATGGGCTCAGCCATTGCTTAACTGCAACCCTTGGCTAGAAATTGAGCCTCCCCAGGCCTGAGTCTCATCTACAAGATAGGACAACCAGACCAGATGGCATCTTGGGTCCTGTTGGGTTCTAAAGTTCCATTCTATCCCTCGGTCTCCCTCATTTTCACAGCCAAGCACTGCTCATTATCAGGTCTAGGGATTTCTTTCCTTCAGTCCTATTACTGAAGTATGTCTAGGGATAATGGAATTCCCAAGGCAGTGAGGGGAACCAAAAGGTGACTCAACTTGATAGAGCCATTGAACACCCAGGAATCTGCCCAGACACAAGGATGAGCTGCATGACCTTGAAGGGAGTGGAGAGGAGTGTCTGCTATGACCTACTGTGGGCAGACCTGGAGCCTCTAGAGTGCATTTTGGCCCTGGTGGGGTAGGAGATCCACACTCAGTATATCTCATCCAAAGATAAAATTTGATCTAGAGATGACTCCCCAAAAGAAGAAGAAAGAAGAGGAATTGGCAGCAAAATCAGAGGCATGCTTGGCTTTGGAGTCAGAGGACCTGAGGTCAATTGATGGCTCTGCTACCTTGGTGACCTTGGGCAAATCATTTAACTTCTTTGGCCTTAGTTCTTTTTTCCATCTAAAATATGAGGGATGAAGGGGAGGCATCCAAGCGACCATGAATGTTTCTTCCAACTCTAAGTCTTTGATCCAAGGCCACAGCTTAGAGCCTAAAATTGCACTACCATTTTTTGGGATACCCTGTATACCCACCCTACCTCACTATCACCCTCCATTCCAGACAGTGTTTGTCTATCTGAAGGAAATAAACTCAATTCTTTTAATTATTCAAGCCTCACAATCTGCTGCTTCTGAATTACTGAAATTGGGGTTCTGCCTATTCCCTGGTTCCCCAGATAAAGGTTTCCCTTCCTGCAACAAGGAAAGGCAGCTTTAGACACAGGAGAGGGAGCAAACTACAACATGTGTTTCATGATTTGAGCTGCAGAGGGAGAAACACCTTCAACCACCTCTTGACTGAAGCAATTTGATTCCAGTGTGGTTACTAAAATAGAAACATCCTGGAGATGTCTGTCTAACTCTGAGTTGCTATCAGCCGTTCATAGCATAGAGAGGGTCAGGTTGTTAAAGAATAGGAGGCAGAAAGAAAAATTATCAGGGTAACTGTTTGGGAGAGGTCGCCCAAACAAGTTTGCTGAAAGAATCAGCATTGTTGGTATGGAACTGACTAGAAACTTTAACATGTCTCCTATGTCCTGATTCTAAGTAAGTGGTTATGTTTAGCCCCTTCCCACTCCCCACCCTTCTTTCCATCTTCCCTTCTCATACTTTCCTCCCAAGTTAAGCCCCCAAAAATGCCTGAGATAGAATTGGCCCTTTATCTTTGTACTCCTACTTTCTACTCCATTAAGCTCAGACTCACCTAGACACAACAGTGCTACCCACAGTAGTACTGAGCTGGTGGTGGTGACAGGCTAGAGTGCCTATGGTCCTTCCACCCCATGGCAGATAGGAGATACCAGGAGTGGACTCCAAGCAGCACAGAGATTCAGAAAATAGCAGCACACACCTGTCCCACCCACCCCAGCACAGTCCACTCCAGAGGACACAAAACTCTTCTAAAAGAGGGAGTTTGCATGAGCCTTCTCAGACTCTCTTCCCCTCCTGCCTCTTTCCCTGACCCTCCTCCCACTGAAGTACACCTTCTTTCTCCTTTCTCCCTCTTTGCCAGTGGATTACAGGGTTTTCTGGCCAGCATCCACACAGCTGGAACCAACTAATTACACAACTCTAAACTTAGAGAAATCTATTAGAAAGCAAATAAACTACCCCATCTGGGCCTTGGTGAAACCCAAGGTATAAGTTGCACTGGAAGTAGAAATGTGTGTATGTGTGTGTGTGTGTGTGTGTGTGTGTGTGTGTGTGTGTGTGTGTGTGTAATATATGTATGTGTTTATACACATATGTATATATCTAGAGAGAGAATATATATGTATATATGTACATATATATGTATTCAGGATCATAAATAGAAGAAAATGTAAGGTATTTCATAGAAAAAATAAATGACCTCAAAAACAGACCAAGGAGAAAAAAATGTAATAACCATTTGTCTACCTCAACAGCGTGCCCACAAAAATAGCTGAATCATCACAATTTTAAAAATTGTAAAAATGAAACTGCCAAGATGTCTTGGAACCAGAGGGTAAAGTAGAAATAGAAAGAATCCATTGGTTACCCCCTAAAAGAAATCTCAAAATGAAAACTCTCAGGAACATTATAGCCAAAATCCAGAGTGAAAGCAGTCAGAAAGAAAGAATTAAAGTGCAAAGGAATCACAGTCATAATCACACACAATTTAGAAGGCATCTTCATAAATGAACACAGAGATTAGAATACAATACTCTAAAAGGCAAAGGATGTGGGCCTTCGACATAGAATAACTTACTCAGCAAAACTGAGCATAATTCTACAGGAGAAAAATAATCTTTAATACAGTAGAAGACTTCCAAGCATTCCTGATGAAAAGACCTGAGCTGTGGGAGAAACTTTGAAGTTCAATCATGGGAATTAAAAGAAACATAAAAAAGTAAATATGAACAAGCAATAATAAAGGACTTTAAAAAGGCTAAATTGCTTACATTCTATTGTAGGAAGATAATACATGTGATCCCTCTGGATCCTACCACCATGAAGGGTGAAAAAGTCTAATAAAATAAAAAGGCTGACAATGCTTCTGCTGTATCTTGATGATCTTAAAAGAATCTAAAGGGAAGGGAAGAGAAAGGTTGTGGAAAATTATCTCACATAATCAAAATGTGTGTAGAAGCCTATACAAACTAGAAGGGAGAAGGAGTAGGTGGAATGTCTGATACTTAAACTTCACTCTCATCTGAACTGGTCAAAGGATGGAAGAATACCTACACACACAGTTGAGTGCAGAAAGGCATTTTATTCAATAGGGAAGGAGGGTAAGGAGGGAAGGGAGAAAGAGAAATTAGAAAAAGATACGGAGTAAGAGAGGGATTAGTCCTAAGCAAAACAAACTCCAAGGATATACAAAAATATTTATAGCACTTTTTGAGGTGGCAAAAAATGGGAATCATAGAAAGCACCCATTGATTGGCTCAATATATTATTGTTTATGAATATGATGAAATACTATTGTGATGTAAGAAATGATAAAGGGGCTATTTTTGGAGGGGTTTTTTTATTAGTTTCTTGTGATTTATCAACAATCACTTCCATAAGCTTTTGAGTTTTAAATTTTTCTCCCCCTCTCTTCTCACCTCCCTCCTCAAGATGGCAAGCAATCTGATATAGGCTATGCACATACATTCTTATTAAACATATTTTCACATTAGCCATATTGTAAGGAAGAATTAGAACCAATAGGAGAAACCCATGAGAAAGAGAAAAAACAAAACAAAACAGAAGAAAAAAATAGTAAATAGTATGCTTTGATCTGCATTCAAACTCCGTAGTTTTTTTTTTTTTTGGATGTGGATAGCATTTTCCACCATGAGACTTTTGGCGATATCTTAGATCCTTGCATTGCTGGCGAGGGCTAAGTCTATCAACATTAGTCATCACACAACGTGCCTGTTACTGTGTACAACATTCTTCTGGTTCTGTTCACTTCACTCAGCATCAGTCCATACAACTCTTTCCAGGTTTTTCTGAAGTTTGCCTGCTTATCATTTCTTATAGCACAATAGTATTCCATTATATTCATACACCACAACTCATTACGCCATTCCCCAATTTATGGGCATCCTCTCAATTTTCAATTCTTTGCCAGCACAAAAAGAGCTGCTATAAGTATTTTTGTACATGTGGGTCCTTTT